GAGGGGGTGAATGAGGGGTGTGTGAGTGTGTGATGGGTGGAGGATACAGGCCAGATACTTTCCAGCTCGGGTTCGCTTCGGGGTGCGTGTGGGGAGAATGGTGGAGAGAACGAGTCGGTGGATGCAGGATTTTGGTGTTGTGAGGGTGTAATGGGTGGGGGACACAGGGCAGGTGTGCTGTCCAGAATGAGGTACTCTTGGGGGGCAGGAGTTTCGACGAAGAGTGAGAGGGGCAGAAGAGGATTGCGGGAAGCCGAGGCCGCCGCAAGGGCCCGGGGCGCGCGGCGCGGCCCCCACCTGTGCGCCACATGGTTAGAGTGGCAGAACTCCACCGCCCAGATCAGCTGCCTGCTCGGGGGGTTGGCAGTCAGGCGAAGGGTTGGGACGAGCGGGCGGCGTCGCGGGTGCGACACCCATGCGACGCATACGTCGACACAAAAACACCCACACACACACACACACACACACACACACACACACACACACGCACACACACTCACACACACACACACACTCACAAACACACACACGCACACAAACACATGCAGAAACACACACTCACACACACACACACACACGCACACACGCACACACATACACACACACGCACACAAACACATGCAGAAACACACACACACACACACACACACACACGCACACTGGCACACACACGCACACACATGCACACACAAACAGGTAAAACACACTTGTGCACACAACCAAAGGCACATAGCTGTACACTCACACACACGCACCACACCTTGCACGCACTCCCACTAGTCACACTAGTCGCGCACGAAGCTGGCGCGTGCCCCACGGCCCCCCACCTGAAAAAGTAGTTAACCTCGTCCTCATCCAAGCAGAGGCCGCCCCGCTGATCCCGCGTCTCCCGCAGCCGCGTGACATAGCCCACCATGTTGCCGCCTGCGCGCACCCAAGAGCGAGGGGAACGCGCGGGCGGGGAGCACGTTGTTGGGGCTCTCGCTCGGGTCAACGAGCCGTACACCCCACAACCTGTTGTGGGGCTCGAGGCCGGTTGGCTGTAGGGAGCGTCTCGGCATCCATCCGCTCTCCAGCGGCGCGCCCGGGCCGGTGGGTCACAAGGGCTCGTCAAGGCGCGTCACGAGGGCTCACCCTTTACGAATTCCATGACCAGCCCCACGTGGGTGCGGGACAGCACCACCTCCTCCGCGTGCACGATGTTCAGGTGCCCGTCTGCGGGGCGCGGGCGCGCGCGGACGCAAAACCGCCCAGTCAGACGGCCCGCGCCTGAGTGGAGACACCTCCGGCCCGCAGCGGCGTGCAGGCGCTGCAGGCACGCCGCTGATGCCGCGTGCAGCCCCACGGCTATGGCCTGCGCGCGGCGCCACAGCACGCCGCTGCAGCCCCCCCGCCGCCCCGCGGCGCCGGAGGCCCCGGTGCCCACGCCTGGGCGTCTGCCGCCCGTGCGGCTGCCGTCTGCTCACCTCCCAGGTCGGCCAGGATCCGTATCTCCCTCTGGATGATCTGGGTGATGGACTTGGGGATCGGCCGCCGCACCAGCTTGATCGCGACCTCCCGATTGGTGGCCTTCTCGCGGCACAGCCACGTCTCGCCCTCGCCGCCTGCGGGGCCGTGCGGGGCGGGCCGTCGCGCGCGGGTGTGCACATGTCCCATCCGATGTTGACACTGCCTTTGCTACATCCTGGGCAGCAGGGGAGCTGATGAGGTGCCGCCTGACACTGGGCTGCCTAACTGGTGAGCAACCAAACCCGCCCTTGTTGGGCGGCCGCCGCACCCTTGCCGCCGGCCGACCGTGGCAGCCGTGTGTGCCGCAGGCTGCTTTCAAGCACCGCGGGACAGCCGGGCGCATTCGCCACGCGCGCGCCCCGCGCCGTGCGCACTCTTTCGCTCGCGCGCGCGCCGCGCGCCCGCTGCTGAGAGCGGTTCGGGCGCTGGCGCGCGTGGCGCTGTGCACAGCTGCCGGCCGCCGTGCCCGCTGGCGCCTCCCGCGCGGCCGGCCGCTGTCCCTTTTTCAGCAGCAGGCTCGGGATTCACCCAAGTGTTCGAAATATCTTGGGCGTGCGGACCCATGCTGCTGTTGGTGCGGCGAGCCTTTGGCTCACCAGTCCCCAGCAGCTTGATCACTTCCCATTGGTCGGCGAGCCCAAAATCTGGCACCTTGCTTTTCGCCGCCGCCGCCGCGCCAGCCGCGCCCCCGGCGCTCGCGCTGCCGGCGCGCCCGCTTGCGGGCGCCTTGCCCGCGGGCTTGTCGGCCTCTGGGGAGCTCATGCAGCCGCCCATCTGCGTGTGGTGTGGCGGCGGCGGCGCGCATGACTCGGTGTCCCTGGAACAAGCACCGCAGCTGCTGCAACAGGCTTCGCGGGTGCGCACATGCCCGCGCTGGCATCGGAGCGCCGGCTCCGTGACATCCCTCATCATCGTGCCCCGCGGCACACCCTGACATCGTTCAACACCAAACCGCTGCGATTTTGCCCACCTTGGCTGGTTCCAATCAAAGACGACCCACAACGCTTGTTTTGAGCCTGCGCTTGTCCCGGAAGCAGAATGGTAAGACGAGAAACAGTATTTGAATATCTGTGCTCTCCAGGGGCCACACAGCCTCACCCGCAGCCGCTGTGCAAATTTGGGTGCTGGTCAATATCCTCGACCTGGCTTTTCAAAACGATCAGGGCTCTAATTTTTGCAGCAACTACGCGCAGCAAGGCCTGCAAAGCTTGCAGTCAGATCTGGCGGTCCGCGAGCCCCGAAAGCTTGCGAGTTGGTCAGCAGAGCACAATCTCGACTATCTCCAATGGACAGAATACGGTAACCAGCATAAACTTACGTCTTGACGCACACGGATCTTCAAGCACTCCGCCGTGCGCGTGTGCATCACCGCTACAGTGCGGCCGTCCAATGCAAGTCAAGCACGAGCTTTACCATACCTCCATCAGCTGGGTTGCAATGCCCACCGCATATGAGTGTTGTGAAGGCAAAGTCACTGTCATATGGGGCAGCTTTCTTGCTTTACCCACATGAGCAGTCTGCAATGATCTCATTATCAGGTGGTTTCCATACGCAAGCCAGATGGGGATCACAAGGTGCGTGAACCAACAGGCGTCCGTGCATACCGGTATCACAAGCCTCGCAGCAAAACGCAAGCCGCATAAGCAAAGGCCAACACCCTGGCTGCAATGTCACATCTCGCGCAACCAGCCAACGTAGTCAAACGCGAATGCCTGTAGATGGTCAAGGGAAGCAAGCCAGAAGTCACGACAGACTGCACCACACATCGCTCGCTTGTTCAACCAGACGGACGACTGTCCAGCAATATCCTTCTTCCTTACCTGCCGTGACCCGCTTGTTCAAGTTTGTGTCGCGCTGGTCAGCGGCGAACGGCTCCTGTTTGCGGCGCGTCACATTGTCACACGTTTGTTGGTACATGTGCGGTGGTTGCATGCCAGCTTTTCTCCACCCGAACCGATCAGGGCGGACATTGCAACACAAGGACAAAACAACGCCTTGGTCGGGCCTCAGATGGTGCAGCCGATGTTTGCCGGGTGGGACGCAGCTGCCACAGCAGCATGAGTATGAGTAACTTATCTATCACAGCAGCAGCAGCCGTGCGGCAGGGGCAGTACCACAACTGCGTGGCAGCTGTGGCAGCTCCGACCTTGCAATCATCGAACATCACGGGCAGATCCAGCAATGAAACTATCTTTTGAGAAACCCGCCCAATCGCAATGCTCAGCTTCTTCACTGCCCTCGAGGATGCTATCACCAATCGTGGGGGCGACGCTGCTTTCCGCTTGCCCCATCATCACCGCCACCACCCCGACTCCAGGTGTGGTGTGGCAAGCACCGTTCATCCGCCCAGGCTCGGCAGCGCCCATGCAACAGAGCCCCCGCTGGGGGTGGGGGGTGGGGGTGGGGAGAGATCGAGCGCGCGGGACCCGCGCCAGGGCCCGCCTCAGGCGGCGCCAGGGTTGAACGCAAGAAAGGACGGCGCGCTTTGTTCTTACTCGCTTGGGGGAGGGGTGGGGTGGGCGCAGGCTTTAGGGAATGGAGCGCCAGATATCAGGCAAGGTGTTCAGGGCAGCGCAGGTGGAGAATTCGATGGTTTTAGGGCGTGTCCGCCCATCACATGACGATACATCTCGCATTTACTGAAGCAATTGTGCGTGCCCGCACGGTTCAGGAAACCCACCTAATACACAACAAATGGGCCGGCCTGGGCTGGGCACGCCAACAGGGGTCGCGGCGCGCGGCGGCAGAGGCAGGGCAGTCGCGCTAGCAGCAGGTCAGGCATGGTTGGTTGGTTGAGCCACGCGTGGCCCGGCCCGGCCCGGCCCTCCACACTGAGCCAGGTCTGCTGCGGCCACGGCGCCTCGGCGACTGCCGCGGCGCGCCGCACCGTGGGCAGCGGAGGACGTCAGAGGACCTTCCCTCGACCGGCAAGCCAGGCGCAGCAGCGTGCAGTGAGCGGCGCTGCGAGCTAATCGCCACAAGTAGCATTGAACTCGCTATCATGGAGCGGGCCTGGCGCGTCAAGCTGCAGCCACACGCGGTGCCCGCCGAGACTGGCTACACTGCGAACGACAATCAAACTTGGTTGCAGGCGGCAGCGGCGCTGCAGGCTGGCAGCCGCGCCGCGTGGGATGCAGCATGACTGCCGCCTGGCTGGGGGAAGCTGCTGGGCAACTGCTTCTGACGAGCTGACCGCATGCCACAACAACAGAGTTTTCAAAGGTGAAAATTACATGTGTGTCACGTGGCAGGTGACTTTGGTGAAGTCAAGCACCAAAGTAAGGCTCCCACCACACAGGGAAATGCGCAGCTAAGCCGCAATCGGCACCTCAGCGCATCGTCGGCGGCGCGCGCTGCAAATGGGCGCGCTGCACGCAGCAGCAGCAAGGGGCTCGACCGCCCCCGAAGGCGGTCGGCCGGCGCAGCCTGACCCAGCCTCCGTGGGACGCAGACAGCGCAACCTTGGACGCACGAGCGCGCCTGGCCTTCAGGTCGAAGCCCCGCCACCCAACTCCTCCCCAAGGCTCGCGGCGCAGATCTAGGCGGCCTGGGCCCCAATTGGGAGGGCGCGGCGGCAGGAGCTCGAGGCGCCGAGGCGAGGCAGGATTGTGGGAGATCCGCGTTCCGCAGGCGCGCAAATGTCTCTCCATTTGGGCCGACGGCGCCCGCCGTGGCCGCTGCATGTGTGTCAGTCACTCGGTGGCACGCGCAAGGATTGGTTTCGGTCCTGTGGAAGGGGTCAGAAGTGACTGTGACACGCGCCAGCACGCGAGAGCGCCGAGCTCTGGGGCGGCTGGCGTAGGGTAAACCACAACACACACAGCGCGCCGCGCGCTGCGGCAGGAACGGGAACAGAAGGGGGTCAAAAGCGCCGAGGCGCGGATACATCAATCTTGCGTCGCAGCGCAGCTGCTGCTCTGCGGCAGGCTATTGTGTTTCCAGAATTTCCGTTGCCTTTGGGAGGGCGCGGCGCGCAAACGAGCGCGCGCGAGAGAGAGTGCGTGGGTGGTGATGGGTGTGTGTGTGTAGGGTGCGCCCGGAAAATTGGCAGGGCCGCACGCCCGCCGCGCCCCTCAGGGGAGCTGGGTTGCATTTAGGAAGCAGTGCCCGCAAATAAGAAGAGTGGCAGTGAGTAGTGGCACCGGGCAAAACGCGGCAAACAGGGCTCGACACACGGGGGCCGCGCCACAAGGGACGGGCGCGCGGCCGCGAGGTCCGGCCGCAGCCGCGCCCAATATCAGGGGCGCGCGCCGCGGCAGGCGCGCGGTCACGAGTCGTACATCCGGATCTTCGCGGTGATCTCCTTCCTGCAGAACGCGCAGCTGCTCAGCTGCTCCCCGCACTCGACGCAGGCCTGGTGGCCGCAGCTGAACACGAGCCCCTTGCGCCGCTCGAGGCACAGCGCGCACAGCTGGCCCTCGGCCGCCGATCGGCTGTGCATCTCCGAGACGGTGCGCTCGACGACCAGCGCGCGCACCGCGCGGCCCGCGGCCTCGAGGCGCCCCTCCAGCTCCCGGAGCTCCGCCGCGCCCGCCGTCGCGAGCGCGAGGCGGTCGCCGCCCATGCGCGCGAGCGCCGCGCGC